TTATGTTTTCCCTTTATAAACATATTTCATAAGCCGATATTACAGGGGAGCAACTTCTCTTAACCAAAACTGGCTTAATCATTTCCTAAATTCCTCAAGTGTCAGTAAAATTCTTTAAATTTACCAAGGAAACCGCAAACACCTCAATTACCAGGCCCAAACCTCATTCTGTGCAAAAACACCAAAGTACCAGAGATTTAAACGGGACTGCAGAATGAACAGATTCATAAAAACACGGTGACCTTTCACGCTGAAAGTAACACAAATGACGTTTAAAACGTGAGACGCTGCCAAACCAAACTCCAACAACAAAAACAGCCATTTGCACATTTTCTCGGTTGTCGACCCTTAAAATTAGATTTTTGAACAAGACTGGGGGCATTTCTTTTTAAATGTCTGCGTGATCTTTAATTCGGCATTGGTCTTACAATGAATAAAGCGCGTGGTCACCCGTAGTTTTCATTTCATTGTCACAGCAATCAGCTGTTATGAAGCGTTAATGGAAACTGTGTGAGGCTCACAGCTTAAAGTGATGAATTGATTACCTGGTGCTGATACGTTTTTCAACTGTAGCTACGAATGAGAAGGTGGCGCAGTTAACCTGCCACAGCCACCAATAATCGACACCTTAAATTGGCTGTTTTTTAAATTAAGTTTGGCCTACAGACCCATCTCCCTGACGAAAGCGGGCAAACTATTGACGGGAAAGCCAAAACAACAGGCAGCAGCTGCAGCATCTTCTCCGTGGCTGCCATGCGGCTTCCTTCGGCTCATTCCCCGAAAACACGCGTGTAAAAATCTGATTAAAGCGCCTCGTGAAGGGCACATCAGTCAAACCCACCGCCTGCAGCTGCTGCTGATCGGCCGCCTTCCCGACCAGCGGCGGCGGGTCGCCCCTCTTCTGCAGCCCCTTCCGCGGGTGCTCCATGTCGGCTTTGTTGAACCCCCCGGTCCGGTCCTCTCTCTTCTCCCGGCTCCTGGCGCCTCCGTCCCCACCGGTGGAGTCCAGGCTGCTGAAGTTCCACACGATGAGAGTCTGGACCAGCAGGACGGCCAGAGCAGCGACCAGCAGCAGCGCGGACCTGGAGCGCCGGGCCAGCCTGCGGGCGCACGGGTTACCGTTCATCTTCTCCTCCTCCCTCCCTCCGGGTCAGACTCAGACTGAGAGCTCCATCCGCTAAACGCCGACAGCGGGGTGTGAATGCTCCCCTCTGCGGCCAGAGAGCTACTACTGGCTGGCAGAGAGCAGCAGGAGGAGGAGGGAATTTGGCACAGACTCGAAATGAGGAGAGAGTTTTGGAGGCGGTGAAGAGGACGCAGAGGCCCTCATGCGGCCATTTAACGTCAGTAGTTCAGAGAAAGTCTGAGATTCCCCGAATGCACCAGTGAACGACTCAGGAAATCCTTCCTGCCTGTGGATACATATCTGTACGACTCCCCCATCCAGTAGCTGCACCCTTCATCACATGCTGCAGTGAAGTTTTACAGTAAAATGTCTGTAATTTTCTGGATACGCAAATATCTTAATTATAAATATACATTGGAACTGTTTCTTATATTTTGTAACGTTGTGATATATCGTATATACAGCCTGTTGCTGTTCTTATTGTCTTGGACCGACTGTAACCACATAATTTCCTCTGGGATTAATAAAATGTTCTGAATCTGATTGTGAAGCGACACCTCTGCAGGGCCGGAGCTGCATTTCTGTAGACAGGAGCAGAAAGCCGTTGTTGCCCCCCCCCCCCCCATGAAACCACACACTGCAAAATTATAAACTGATATTTTTATTTACTTTTCGAGGAAAAATACCAACAACTTTGCCTGAATTGTAATGCTGTGTGATACCAAATAAATAAAGGGAGCTTTATAGAGGAGAGCAGTGTTTCATGATTTATGAGGTGAATCATCATCAACACATTTGAATGATCACTAAATCACTGTGATTTTCACTTTCTGCCATAAATAACACAGTGAACACATCTTTCAGCTTTCATGTACATAATTAAACAGATTGTTTGAGACCTGGAACAGAAATGTGTCTGTGTCTAAAACACTTTAGGCCAGCTTCTGTTGTTTAAATGTGCTATAGACGTTAAATAAAATAGACGTGACGGGGAACGCTGAAAAGTTGTGACATTTTTCACAGTTCCTGTTTGACGTATATTTTTTTCACTTAAAAAATAATGGATCATTTTCAGTGCTGATCTTAGACGATAGAAACAAAGTATCGACCCAGCACTGAAACCCTGTTGATAGCATCGATATGAACATTTTGCTACTTTGTCTCTGTTTCTGTCACCGTGATCACACTGGAGTTTTTTCACTGCTGTTCCAGTTTTCTTTTATAAGGCAGCCCCAGTACAGCTGGTCAAATTTTGGTTTTTGAATGAGCATATAGTAGGAGTCAAACCTGATTTTCGACATGATATTTAAGTAATATTTGTTACTGCTTTCATTGTCTGAGTGCCAGCATGTTCAACCTAAACATAGCCCCACCTGCAGTTTCCTCTGGTTCACATTTGGCCTTGACTGAGGATTTAGGCACACGTGAATCATTTATGGATCAGTTGTGTGGTGACATCTGGACAACATCTGGATTCAGCACTAAGAAACAAATGGATTATTATCAGGACATCCTTTCCTTCTCACAGTAACCCTGACAGGTACATGAAGGTCGTTATCAACTTTGTAAAAGAGAATATGTTGACTTCTCCTCTAGCAGCAGGGTAAAAATCATAATTAAACAACACCTTTTCTTTCTAGGGAAAGGCCGTATAACTATATATCTTTGTGGTCTCCTGTCAAAAACATGGATGTGGGACCTGCTGTTCTGCTAACCGCACCTCATGAATACCATGACGTGTGACTTACAAGAAAATGTACAAGACCTGAAACAAAAGTGAAACTTGGATTTAAAACCGGTTGAACAAGCTAACAGGTGGCTGTGTTACTGAGAAACAAAACAACGGGCCAATGATTTTTATTCCCCGTCCTCCCTTTAGATCTGCTTCTCCTGCTCCCTGTTCGTCACCTTAAAGAAGAAACAGCATTTTCAACTCCTGCTTCATTCAAAGTGCATTTATTGGGTGTATTTGGCGATTGAAGAATATTCCATGTCTTTGCCTCGAGGTTACTTTTGCAGTTTGCTGTGGGCGTGCACTTTAATTTGACTCAGATCTTGATTTTTAAAAATCTTGACTGGATTTAAAATCCACTGTGGTTGTGTACAGAGGCAAAATTACAAACGTGTGCCATTTTCCAAAAGTCCAGGCCTAACAGCATGTCAGCCATATTCCCATAAGATGTTTTATGTGATGAGAAATGTAAGAGAGGACACAGCAGAGCAATGGAAACTTTAATACTGGTAGGAATGTAGTTGGACAGGTGATTCCCGTTTGCACATGTCCTTCTGATATTTCTGACTGCCTGTAATTCGTCTTACAGACCTATAGGAAAATGTACATTTTGAAAATGCAAATTTGTGCTGATCATAAATCTTTCGTGGAGGAAAAGAAAGTTCTCGTAAGCCCCGTTTTGTCTGATAGGCCCTGGGTGGTGTGCAGTTGGTTCTCAGGACTGAAACCTATGATAACTCCTGTACAGACCACTCCCAATAAATAACATCATCTACAATCTAAAGTGAAGGACATAACAATGTGCAGAATGTGAAACAGCTGATAGAAGGATTTCTATTCATGGTACTTCCTCCTGAAGGCTGAACATTGTTATTTAAACGAAGCAGACTGAGACACAGGCTGCACTTTTGGATGAACCTGGAGAGAGACGTACGTTTTTCCTCAAAGTCTAGATTTTCACAGATAGTTCTGTGTACATAAAGTGCCAATTAAAGTCCAGTTAGCTGCTTATTGACTAATCAGCTTTGTGACTCTTTCAGATGAATTGTTTATTTCTAGAGTTTCAGTCATTATTTAGAGATTATCAGAACACAAACAACATTAGTGAAGGTTACCAATGACCCTCTGAAAGCCTCTGACAGTGCACTCTCTGGACCTGTCCTGCTAGGCAGCGTTCAGTACCAGTGACCATAATATTCCTCTGCAGACAGTCGAGTACTTTGTACTGTGGGTGTTGGTGCTGAAGAAAATGCAATGCACCTGTTTGGATAATTTCTAATAGGTTCTAGTAGATTCTAGTAATTTTTCATGTAAATATTCTCGTCTGTCTTCTTCACCCACAAAACGTAGTCACAGAGTTGCACATGGTTCTTGGATTGGGACCAGTGCTTTTTATTTTAGGTGCTGCTTATTACAATAATACATACGACATACCCAGGCCTGTCTTAAAGACATAAAGGTCTAGATGACCACTATTTTTTCTGCTTCTAAATTCTGATTTAACTGTTATTGTACTTCCTGCAAATAACCCTCAGAAACCTGGTGTCTAAGCAGATACTGACTGGATGGTATTACCTTGGCCTCCAGTGAGGCTCCACTTAGAGGTCTCATTTTTATCTGCACTAAGATACCAACACTGGTATACTTGGTATCTACCCAACTGTGTTAAATAATATATAGAATATATTCATCTTATGATATTTTAAAATTGGGGGGACAGTTGTTGGATTTATTGAGATTTGCATTTTACTTTATTATTATATATTTTTATCATTATATTCTGTTGGCTTTATGTTGACATCATAAAGCCAAACTCCAACTGAAATGAATCAAGTGTTTTAGTCTCTATCTTTTTAAGATTCATGTTTTCCTTTTTTTTTCTTAGTATATTACTGTATATGTGGATTTTTATTCCATATGTTTGGACTGGAAATTATTTAAGATTAACTTTACTTAAAAATGAATTTAAAGTAAATTCAAATTGCTTTTCTGGACACACCTTTAAATTACTTGACATATAATAATGATAATAATAATAATAATAATAATAATAATAAGCCTTTTTGAACGGTAACCCTTACCCTGTTTTTGTCTTAATTTGATGATATCCTCATCATAATGATTCTTCTTCCTGCAGGGACACTGACTGAAATAAAAAATGAGCATTGAGTGGGCTGAAGATGACGGTCTTCCTTCTGGGGTAGTTCGAGTGGACTGTGAAGGACCAGAAGATGGTAAAACCTATGTCATGTACCATGGCACAAAAAGGGCAAATGTTTCATCGATCCAGAAGTCAGGTTTTCATCAGTCTTCAGGCGGGATGCTCGGTCAGGGCGTTTACCTCAGCAGAGACCTGGAGAAAGCGAGTCGCTATCCCATCGATCACCCTGAGCATGACAGAGTTGTCATTAGGGTTAGGGTCAACGTGGGAAAGGTTAAACGCATAGATCGTCAGAACCACCCACTTCAGAAGACCTGGCATGACCACGGATACGACACCGCCTGGGTGCCGCCCAAGTGTGGGATGGTGTCGAGCGGCCTGGAGGAGAATTGTGTCTGGGATCCCAAGCGAATCACAATCCTTGAGACCATCAAACCAAAACCTGTCAGGGATACTCGAGCTGGTTCAAGACCGATCTCGATGAGAGAATTAACTTACTCACTCCCAGACCTCCCAGATCCCTACTCATATGATTATGATGATGATTATGATGCATGGTGTGCATGGATGCACTACAGGTAAATTCCACAAGCAGTTATTGTTGTATTTTGCATATTTGGAAGCGTTTTATATATTTTGATGTAAAAAAAAAGACATTGAGTTTTGTATGTGTCATTGTAGTCCAGCAGGATTTCAGGCCATGGGGTGGAGCGCACCAATGCCAGACAGCAATTCTGATAGTGAAGGCGGTCGTGGTGGTGCTGGTCGTGGTGGTTCTGGCCGTGGTGGTTCTGGCCGTGCTGGTGCTGGTCGTGGTGGTGCTGGCCGTGGTGGTGCTGGTCGTGGTGGTGCTGGCCATGCTGGTTCTGGCCGTGGTGGTGCTGGCCGTGGTGGTGCTGGCCGTGGTGGTTCTGGCCGTGCTGGTGCTGGTCGTGGTGGTGCTGGCCGTGGTGGTGCTGGCCATGCTGGTTCTGGCCGTGCTGGTTCTGGTCGTGGTGGTGCTGGCCGTGCTGGTTCTGGTCGTGGTGGTGCTGGCCATGCTGGTTCTGGCCGTGGTGGTGCTGGCCGTGGTGGTGCTGGCCGTGCTGGCCGTGGTGGTGCTGGTCATAAAGACTGAGCTTGGTTCATGTAGCCTTTGAACGACACTTATTTTTTTGTGTGTTTCTTTCTTTTGGGGTAAAATACAGGCTTATGTGTCTTTTTTGTTTATTTATTAATAAAACCTTTATTCTATTGTCAACTTTGCCTCCCTGTCTCCTTTTTCAAACTGGATATTGTTATCTCGGTAACATCCGTTCAATATTTATTCATATTAAAACATTTTTAGTGTAAGGTAGAGCCTACTATCTTAGTGAGAAGACCCCATCAGTGAAGAAGGACTTGGTGACAGTGGGAAGGAAAAAGTTCTGACTGGAAGAGACTTTTCATACTTTATTCAAAAAGGTAAACGTTCATATATTCATTAACAGCAAAGTGCCTAAATGCACTGAATCCTCCCAAGTGATTGACCACAGAGATGACAAAACTAAAAAATATAATGATCTTAAAAAATGTAAAATCAAAAAAATGGTAAATGGTCTGCATTTGTATAGCGCTTTTCTAGTCCTTAAGGACCCCAAAGCACTTTACACTACATTTAGTCATTCACCCATTCACACACACATTCACACACTGGCGATGGCAGCTACGTTGTAGCCACAGCTGCCTTGGGGCGCACTGACAGAGGCGAGGCTGCCGGACACTGGCGCCACCGGGCCCTCTGACCACCACCAGTATAAAAAAGAAACAAAGATGTTCAAAAATCCAAGCAAAACAACACAAAACGGGAAAAATTGCCTATAAAGATTTTTTTTAATAGCAAAGAGGACATAAAATAGCCCCCAAAAAACAAAAGGGGATTTGTTGGGGATCTTGCTCTTTTTAGGAGGCATGGGTTTGCTTTTTTAGCTTAAAAAATACTCCGAGACATTTGAAAGTGTAAATACAAAGTTAGCAGTAACCTTAAAGTTACAGTGATCACATTTATGGGAAATATGTTATTCCGGTAAACTGGTTTATGTTGTGTAAACATAAGACAGCCTGCAGCAGAAAATACAGCAGGAATCTGGCTGGATGGGCGGTGCCTGCTACAAGTGTCCTTTTTGAGTCTTTTGATTCTGAATGACAGCATGAAATCGTCATCTACAGCACATTAAACCTGGAGTCATAGTGAAGATCTGAAAACGTGTGAACATGAAAAAAATTCATAACAGAATTTAAATGAGTAGATTCATGTGAGTGATTAACAAGTTCATCCATGTGGCAGTGATTACTGTGGAGCCACAGCACCCCCTGAATATGACAGCAGGCATTACTTTAAATTAATCCAAAAAAAAAAAGAATTTTTAAATGAAGGAAAATATAAAGAATTTACACTAAAGTTCATAAAAACTGACAAACTGACGACTGGACCCTAAGAGTTAGTTTGGAGGTTTCTTCATATACAGGAGAGCAGGGATGTGAAATAGCACCAAAGTGGAAAAGTCAAGCACAGAAATTGAGAAGCAGATGGAAGATTACTGTGAATTTAATAAAGATACGAGCAGAGTCTGAAAAGTCCAGAATAGTCAGATTGAGCTAGCTGAGCAGGAAACTGTGGCCTGGGCCAAAGCGAGCGTGCAGATAAGAAGATATATTCACTTTATTTGTTTTACCCAGACTCACCGAAGGTTTGGACTCAGGTTGAGTCTGTCTGCTGCAGCTCAGTCACATCTCCACTTCATATGGGTCGTGTATGTGCAGCAGTACTAAGAAAGAAGTCTCCTGGTTTTCAGTTGGCCAATGAGCTGACAGATTTTTACTTTACCTTTTCTTATATCTTTCTCTCATCACTCCAGAAGCAAAAGGTTCCAGAGGTTTAGAAAATGCTCCAGTTGTAAAGACTACAAACCCCACATCACTAAATGATTTCAGGCCTGCTGCTTTAACGTCTCTAGAGATGAACATCAGGGAGGAGATTCTGCAGCAGGTGGAAGAGCTTCCACTGATATTTGCATACAGGCCTTGTATATACTCTACTGGTTCATCACAGTGATGTTGTCTCTCTCCTCTGCTCTATATTCTGTAATAGAATGACTGTCAAAGTACACATGATAACAGTCATTGTAAGTCATGGGGCTGTGGATGAGTTTGCTTCTTGGCGTCATTTTTAAAGATCAACACCCTGAAAACTGAAGACATGGTCACTGACTCCAGGGGGTCAGGCCCCATCCTGCACTAACAATAGTAAACAGTGCCAGCAGCCATTGAACTGGTGGACAGTTACAAGTATTTGGAGGGTAGTTTTTGATGTTCTGCCCTTTGAGTCACAGTTTGCTGCTACAAAAAAAGGTCCAACAACGGCTGTGTTTTTAAGGAAATTGAGTTTTTTATGTCCATCCATCCATCTTTATCCGCTTTATCCGAGGCCGGGTCGCGGGGGCAGCAGCCTAAGCAGAGAGGTCCAGACCTCCCTCTCCCCAGCCACCTCCTCCAGCTTATCCGGGGGAATACCAAGGCGTTCCCAGGCCAGCCGAGAGATATAATCTCTCCAGCGTGTCCTGGGTCTGCCCCGGGGCCTCCTCCCGGTGGGACATGCCTGGAACACCTCACCCAGGAGGCGCCCAGGAGGCATCCTTGTCAGATGCCCGAACCACCTCAGACCAAGACTGGTATTTTTATGTTTCATCTGAAATTATGATACATTTTTAATCTGTTCTAATGTTTTGTAGCGTTGTTTGGTACGGTAATCTGTCTCTTCGCCACAGGACCGAACGGACTCAGGCTCTTAGAATGAAAAGTCACATTTTCAGCTGCTTCCCTCAGGTCGTCGGTGAAGTGCCTGCAGTGAAGACCTGCTGTTGTTGCCAACACCGTCGCACACAGCATTTCCCTCAAGAGTCAAGATTCAAAGTGTTTATTGTCATGTGTCCAAAGAATAAAAAAGACATTTCTCTGTGCAATGAAATTCTTTCTTTGCTGCCGATTAATATATGCAATAGAAATAGAACAGCTAAAATACAAATAGTACAAATAAATAAGTGAAGACAGAAAAGGAGACAAAAATATTTAATTCTGAAACAGAGATGTGTGCAAAAGAGCCGTAGCTTAATATGCAGGATGGCCTGATGTGCAAAAAGTTATTATTACTGTTCGAAAATAGGTCAGCTGTTCACGAGTCTGATGGCCGTGGGGAAGAAGGAGTTGTTGAGTCTGGATGTTCTGGATTTCACACTCCTAAACCTCCGTCTCGAGGGCAGAAGTGTGAACAGTCCATGTTGGGGGGTGTGGGGTCTTTGAGGATGGAGGCAGCTCTCCTCTGGACTCTGCGATGGTTGATGCTCTGCAGAGAGGGCAGCGGGGTCCTGATGATCTTCTCCGCAGTTGTTATCACTCTCTGCAGGCGTTTGCGTTTGGTCCATAGCAGCAGTGCTGCCGTACCATGCAGCGCTGCAGCTGGTCAGTGTGCTCTCCACAGTGCAGCTGTAGAAGCTGCTTAGGATCTTGGCCGACATACCAAATTTCCTCAGGAAATACAGCCGCTGCTGAGCCTTCTTGACCAGCTGTGTGGTGTTCGGTGTCCAGGTGAGGTCCTCACTGATGTAGACGCCCAGGTACCTAAAGCTGCTCATCCTCTGCACTTCAAGGCCCCGGATAAACAGCAGCTGGTGAGGCCTCCTCTTCTTCCTCGTGTCCACTATCATCTTCTTTGTCTTGTTAGTGTTGAGGGTGAAGATGTTGTCCTCACACCATGACATCAGACCATCACACCTCTCTCCTATAAGCGGCTTCGTCCCCTCCAGTGATGCGACCGATCACTGCGAACTAGAGGATGGGACTTTCTTGTAGCTCTTCATAAAACTTGGGCTGTTCTGTTTGTTTGTTTTTCAAATGTCTGTGTTGTTTGATGAGTGGACATGCTGCAAATCTATTTCCCATTGGGGACAATAAAGTGATCACTGACCATTGTTATCAGCTCTATACACTGACCCAGGGTTTCCCAGTCCACCTATAAAGCACAATCAAAAAAAGAAGCAGTGTACACATCATATGACCGATCACACGCCTGGTCTGCCAACAACAGGACAAAGGTATCAATCACAAAAACAACAACAAAACAAAGGCATCATAAACGTAAATCTGTGTGCCCTCTTGGGGAAAGTAAAACAATGAGTCTGCCACTCTTAACCGACACATCCAGTCTGCCTGAAAGTGAAAGACAAAGAAATCTGCAACAGAAAAAGTTAAACATGGATTTACAACAGGTTCAACGACATGACAGGTAGCTTATTGTTAAGCAACAGAACAAACACACAGGTGAGTTATTTATTCCCTTCCACCCTCTGTTTGTTCTAAATAGTTTATGGAGGTACAATGGTAAATACCAAAAGTCTCATTCTGCCTGAAAACACCTGATCTGTGTGTTGCTGTGTGGCAGGAGTGAAGCCTAATTCACACACTGACTATGCAGGACCACAAGAGCCACGCGCATCAAAATAAAGAATTCTGTGCTTAAATAATAATTTGTAGAATAAATTCTGCACTTGTAAATCCACTTTAATAAACTTCATTTCAAACCACTCTGAGACATCCATCTTTCAGTTTTGTTTCACGTGCTGTTGTTAAGTCCCTCGCTTTAGGCTGTAGACAATATTTACTGGGTGTGGTCCTAAAGTGACTTAATAACAGCACGTGAAACAAAACTGAAAGAAGGATGTTTCTTTTTAAACAGAGCAGAGTGAAACACAGGTGAGTTATTTATTCCCTTTCCACCCTTTCTTTGTTCCAGGTTACATTGGTCTTCCTCACCTAGACCACCTTGAACGGAACTTAGAGCATTTTTTAGTTGATTACGTAATTCATCAGGTGAGATTGATACATCAGGTTGTATGTGAGGAGCAGCCAATGAAGGGAAGCCAAAACAGGAGAAATATGCTCTCTTTCTAGTCCCTGTCAGGACTCTTGCTGCAGCATTTTGGATCAGCTGAAGGCTTTTCAGTGAGTTTTTTGGACTTCCTGATAATAATGAATTACAGTCGTCCAGCCTGGAAGTAATAAATGCATGAACTAGTTTTTCAGCGTCACTCTGAGACAGGATATTTCTAACTTTAGAGATGTTGCACAAATGGAAGAAAGCAGTCTTACATATGTGTTTAATATGTGCGTTGAAGGACATGTCCTGGTCAAAAATGAGTCCAAGGTTCCTCACAGTGTTACTGGAGGCCAAGGTAATGCCATCCAGAGTAAGAATCTGGTTAGATACCATATTTCTAAGCTTTTCAGGGCCGAGTACAATAACCTCAGTTTGATCTGAATTAAACTTATAGATCTTTTTCACTAGTACCTACTTGGCTCGACTTGACTTAACTCGGTTCCGGTCATGTTGATGTAATTTCTGTGCGACATGAACGCCACAACAGCACGTTGAGGTGATGGTAAACCTGCTGCTCAGTCTGGGCCTTTGTGTCAGACTCGGGGGCCACAGTGTTGTTTTTTCTGTACACATTTCCCTCGTTGCCAGGTTCAAAATGGCGGTTTAGATTTTTGCAAAGGAGAAGCTCTCAAGACTCATCGAGTGACGCCACTGACTAGCCAATCGGTGACATGCCGTCTGGTGACGTCACATTTTCGTATCACCTGGATCCCCAGCCGAGTAGGTACTAACAGTAGGTACCAGGCACCACCACCTAATAGAAAACCCCAAAAAGGAGTTGAGGTGTGCAGAGCTGACTCGAGTAGGTGGTAGTGGGAAAGGGTTATTAGTTACAGCACTTTCAGAAAGACGTCTGCTGTAATGAACTGTATACCCCACAGCTGTATAATCCATTATCATAAATTTAAGTAATGAAAAGACAAAAGAAGACTGTTTAATGTTCAGTTTCTATGCTATCTATGCTAGCAAATGTGTGACTAAAGACACTGATGGGCTCTTTTATATTTTGAGAGAAGCCAATTTAGTGTAATAATAGATTCAGGCCGTCATTTTCAGCATCTGCAGCTTTACATAAATGCAAAGTTAGCAGGAGCCTTAGAGCCACAGCAGGAGCTCGCTATATGGGAAATATATCAGCCAAATTCCTGTAAACTTTCACTGGTCCAAACGAAAGTCAGTCTGCAGCAGAATGGAAACATTTGCAAATACAGCAGGAATCTGACTGGACGGGAATTTCCTGTTACGTGTTTCTGTTATATAACTCATCTGCATCTGAACAAGAGCATAAAATTATAAATATTAAGGAGACAAATTTCCTTTAATATCACAAAACTTTTATGGAGGAAAATTGGAAAGTGCCAAACGTTTCATTCTGGCTGAAAACACCTGATCTGTGTGTTGCTGGGTGGCAGGAGTGAAACCTAACTCACACACTGACCACACCTAGTACATATTGTCTGTAACCTAAAGACAAGGACGAGCAACAGCACATGAAACAAAACTGAAAGAAGGACGTCTACTGTTAAAAGAAGCAGAGTGAGGCACGGACTCCATTCTTGGATCAACCTGCAGAGAGGTACGTGGACTCAAACAAAGTCTGAATGTTTACAGTGAATCTTGTCAGTTCTGTGTGTATGAGGACATATTTAGACTCCGCTGTGAACTTCCTGACTAATAAAAGCAGATTTATGTCACTTTAATCAGGACTAAACGATCCAGTGAGAAGCTGCAGAAAAATGTAACTTAGCAAACCTGAGCTGGTTTTAAATTGTACTTAATGGCAACGTTTCAATGAGTTCAGTGTTCGAAAACTGTCATTTGAAAATGTACGATTGTCCCCAGACTTTTACACCTATTATATTTACATTTTTGCCATAAAAACATTACAATATTTTGGTATCAGCTGCTCAACTTTGATGTCACACTGTTTTAAATTGATTTGTATTTTTACTTTGAGTTAATCAAAGTAATTTGGTTCTTAGCAGGTTCTAAAATGTTCTAAAACTGCACAGTGTGGAAATCTAACTACACTCTATCATTCAGGAGCTTTTTGAGGGGTCAGAGGTCAGACTGTCATTTATTCTGCACTTGATAAGATTCAAGCACAGCTTTTAATGCACAGGCTTTTTCATGGCAATGATCACTGATCTCCAGCTCAACATATTGAAAACCAAAGACATAAATGTTGTTTGTTTTAGAGAGAAGAGGCTTCGTCCTCTTTTTCTAATTGTACTGTCATGAACTTTAACCTTTAACATGCTAACTCAGGCCTGTAGAGTCACATGGGGTGAATTTGTTTGGACGTCCACTGAGGAAAATTCTTAATTTTATAGCTAATCTTATCTGTTTTGTCTTTTTGGCACTGATGTCAGTAACATATTTTTCCTACAGGGACACTGACACCAACATCTGGGTCTGAAAAATGAGCTTCCAGTGGGCTGAAGATGACTTTTTGCCTCCAGGTGTGGTTCGAATGGACCGTGAAGGACCAAGAGACGGTAGAACCTACGTCATGTACCACGGCACCACCAGTGCGAACGCTCAATTGATCTTGGCTTCAGGTTTTCGCCAGTCTTCGGCTGGGATGCTCGGTCCAGGGGTCTACCTCAGCAGAGACCTTGATAAAGCGAGTCGCTATCCCATCGATCATCCTGAGGATGACAAGGTTGTCATTAAGGTTAGGGTCAACGTGGGAAAAGTGAAGGCCATCAATCGTCGGAACCACCCACTTCAGAAGACCTGGCATGACCACGGATACGACACCGCCTGGGTGCCGCCCAACTGTGGGATGGTGTCGAGCGGCCTGGAGGAGAATTGTGTCTGGGACCCGAATCGAATCTCAATCATTGGCACCATTGAACCAAAACCTGTCCATGGCGCTGGAGGCAGCGGATGTGGTTACAAGTAAACTCAGAGCAGGTTCTGATTATTTTGTACGTTCAAATGTATTTTTATATATTTGAATAAGAAATCATAAAATGACATATTTTGTAACCATGTCAGTGTAACCTGAAAAATAAATGTATTCATATGTAAATCATTCATTATTCCATATGTTTATGCATAAAAAACACATCAAATCACTTTTATTGTCACATCACATGTGGAGGGACACTGGTACAGTACATGTGAGTGAAATTCTTGTGTGCGAGATGTTTGAACTGAGACGTTTTACTGTTTAATAAAAAAACTAATAACTCATTTTGAATTTGATGACAACAACACATCTAAAAACAACTGGGATGGAGGAAACAAAGGCCTGGAAAAATACAGTTTTTTCTGATTGCTTAAGCACATTTTTTGTAACTATTGGCTAATTTTGCAAAACTCTTCACACAAATAAGAAAACCTGTCACCCAATCATCAAAACATTGTAGTTCTCTTTCAAAAGCAAACACAGCTGGATTAACTCTACACACCTTCGTAAAAATGGTGTTTCCGTATCAAACAGTACACACAAGCCATCATCTACTAAGCACACAATGCGCCAACTGCACACTGATGGTATGAATACAAAACACATCTGGCTTTTGCTTTCTCTGTGCACAAGGTAGGCTATGTCAGTGTGAGCTCATACTTCTATCATAGATCCATAAGCATAGAGGGATCCAAACTTCAAGTACTGCTGTTTATTCAAACACATCAAAACAAACACAAGTGTTTATTTCCAAGTATAGGATTATTTGCAATCGCCATAATGACTATATGGGTTACTTGGTCTGCAGTGAACATGCTTCCTCTGCCCCCTCCTCGTCTTCCTCTTGCTCCTCCTTGTCCTTGTCGTCCTCTTCATCCTACTTCTTCACCTCCACGTCCTCTTCCTCGGCCTCCTCTACTTCTCACTCTTTCTGCTCCCTCCATTGTACTCCGCACACACAGCTTACCTGTATTATAGTGCTTAGGCTGATTGCAAAGTGAACTAATTATCTAAAAAAGTTTTCACATGTGAAAGTGTGCCAGACAGTTGGCAAATTAGTGTTAATGATAGCCATACATGTGTATACTTTTGCTAGGAGTGTGTTGGAAATGTGGTAATTGAGTGTTGTGCAGTGAATTGTGCCTACAGTTTTGCAAAGTGTGTGTTACGAAATTGCAAACTGAGTGCAAAGCAGTTTTTGTGCTTTTAGTTTTGCAAACTCAGTGAGTGGTTTTGCTATAAGTCTGAATAGTTTTAGAGATTGTGCTACAGGAATCACAGTTTGGGTTTAAGCATTCAGAAAAAACTGTAATCAGGAGACACACTCAAAAAATAAAATGGAGACACAGGGACCATGACACTGACCAATAAGACCGGACTGGGTAACCTGGTTAAAATGGCTGGTCAGACTTCAGGGAGGTCTCAGGTCCAGCTTTTGGACTTTTATAACAGGCAGGTGCTGAGGAAGGCGACCTCTGTCATGTTAAGTTTCAAACAAACCGTCTCTTTAGAGATTTTCAGCTGCTTCCTTCAGGTCATCGGTGTGAAGTGCCTGCAGAGAAAACCACGAGGCATAGTTCTTTATACCTGCTGCTATTATCGTGCTTAACAACACTAAACCATAACTGTTGTTGCCAACACTGTCACACACGGCACTTTCTTGCAGCTCTTGATAAAACTTGGGCTGTTCTGTTTGTTTTTCTTAAATGTCTGAGTTGTTTGATGAGTAGACTTGCTGCAAATCAATTTCCCATTGGGGACAATAAAATGACCACTGACCAGGGTTTCCAGTTATTACAATAAAGCAATAAAGTGACACCAGTTAGATTCAAAAGGACCAAAGATGTACAAAAAGAAAGAAAATATCACAACCGCAAAGGTACAAAATTTTAAAAACACGCAAAGATGTAAAAGTATCGACACTAAAAAAGCAAAGAGAGAAAAATGACTGTCAGGAAATACACAATGGTATCAAACAGAATGACACAAACACAAACTGTGCTCATAGTCTGTGTTGGGTCACCTTTTACATGTCTGTGCACACAAAACAATGAAAAAATATAGTTTTAAAAAGATGCTCAGTGACCACAAGAAGATACAAAGCAACACAACGAGGAACAAATTAACTGCAGGAAGATAAAAGAGACGTATGAAACAACACAAAGAGATCAGCGTTGTTGAAATCTCCCAATTCTTTGAATCTTTGGGCTGAAGGAAGGACAATACTCGGTGTATAAATGCTCAATCAACAATCATTTATTTCCATACAATTCAACAGTCAGAGCATTACAACGTCCGGACGGGAGAGATGCTACCAGAGGGTCAGGCACATGTCTCAAAATGGTGACGGGTTGCTCAGCTTTTTATAGTCTCTAGTGGCCCCCAGCTAGTCGTAAACGCCAAAACATCACATTTTTTCTCTGTTACAGCGCCTAAGTTATGACCTCGGCAGTTGTTTCTCTGCTTTCTGTAAGGTGGGGGTGTGGAATGTGGTCTATCTATCTCCCCTGTCTTTAGACACAGAGTCTCCTGCTTACAACCTTCTCTTCATGATTCAACACTTAAGCATGTCAAGAAAACAGTGTAACACATTCCCAGCAGATCAAGGATACAGAGTGATGCACATTTATCTAATGAACTAATATGTGAATATGTTCTGTTAACTCAAAAGTATAATGAGAACTAAACTACATACAGCTCACACACTCTATATTAAAGGGTATAATGTGATCTACAGCAGTATTCTAATTCAACTACTTTGATTACATATATAAGGTAACATATAATAACAGAATAATCTAATAGCGTCGATGTCTCTGCACACAAGCCCTCATCACTACAGAAGGACATCAATGTGATGATGTTGATCCTTAGAGTCACACTGATAATGGGAAATATGTCAGCTGTATCCCTGTAAGCTGGTTTATGTTGTGCAAACGTAAGTCAGTCTGCAGCAGGACAATGGAAACTTTTGCAAATACAGCAGGAAAATGAGTGGACTGGAATTTCCTGTTTCCTTTTGAGTTTTCTGATAACCTGCTGTAGAGCTCATCTGCATCTGAGCAAGAGCATATATTTAGAAATATCAAAGAGACTAATTTCCTTTAAAACCTTAAATCGATCATGGAGAAAAACTGGAAAGAACCAAAATTCCTGTTCTGCCAAAAAGTCCCTGATCTATGAGCTGCTGGATGGCAGGAGTGAAACCTAACTCACACTAAGTACTCCAGCACATACTGCCTATAACCTAAAGTGAAGGACTTAACAGCACGTGAAACGAAACTGAAAGGAGGAGGTCTGTTTGTGGTATTTCCTCCTGAAAAAGAAGCAGAGTGAGGCACAGACTCCATTTTTGGACCAGCCTGCAGAGAGGTACGTGGACTCAGCAAACACACTTTTCTTCTTTTTTCCTTAAAAAGTCTGAATGTTTGCAGTAAACATTGTCAGTACTGTGTGAATGAGGACATATTTACACTCAGCTGCGAACTTTCCGACTGATAAAAGCAGATTTATGTCAGTTTTATCAGGACTTAATGATGAACTTTTCAACTGTGTGAAAGTCCAGCGAGAGGTTTTCTGAATCACATTTCCGTGCAGGAAATGTGATTCAGAAAACCTGAGTTTGAAATTCTACTTATTGTGAAACAACTTTTCAGTGAGGTGATGATTTGTGAAATAAACGTGAACATTAAACAGAACATCGTCATCAGGCTTTCACAGCTACATGGACAGTGAGCCAATTCAAACTTATTCTATTACATGTTTATTTTTCTACAAATATTCATTTTTCCATTAATAACAGTCAAATTAAGTCAGGAAGAGCCGCTGACCTCTGAGGCCAGACACTCATCTTTGGCACAGCAAGTTTATCTTTTGTTTGTTTTTACTTTTGCAGTCAGAACTATAATCTGAACACACTGTTGTGCCAAATACGGTTTGCTTTTTAAAGATCTGAGGAAATAAAAAGGGGGGAAGAGGGGAGAAAATAAGAACATGACAGAGCACAGATAGAAATGCACGATGTATCACCAGCTGCTGCACCTGTGAGAAAAAACAAACATACAGCACCTGAAACACAAAAGCATGAAAATGCACAGATACATAAATCAACAATCTTCTTGTGAGTGTGTGAGAGAGAGAGAGCGGCATGAGCCAGAAACAGGAGCCCAGCACCCAGCAGAGCGATGCCCACTTTGATAATGAAGTGATAATTCCCAATTTGAGAGATAACAAAAAAAAAGATTAAATGTATCTCATATCGTCAGATCTGACGCAACACAATGAAACACAACACCTGCCTGGACTGGAAAGTATTTAGGATTAACCACTGTTATTTTATAATGAGTTTTAAATACTGTAAAAATCATTTAAAACACCTGATTTCTTATAATAACTCCCCATTTAATATAACTAACTCTCTATTTTAAAGTTCAGGCTTCTTGTTCTTAACGCTGTGATGTTCTCATGATTTCCTGCAGAGACAATCACACTAACATCCGAATCAGAAAAATGTACTTCCAGTGGGCTGAAGATGACTTCCTGCCTCCAGGGGTAATCCGACTGGATTGTGAAGGGCCAAGAGACGGTAGAACCTACGTCATGTACCACGGTACCACCAGTGCGAATGCTAAAAGAATCCTGATGACGGGTTTTGGCCAGTCTTATGATGGGATGCTCGGTCCGGGGGTCTACCTCAGCAGAGACCTGGAGAAAGCAAGTCGCTATCCCATTGGTCACCCTGAGTATGACAGAGTTGTCATTAAAGTTAAGGTCAACGTGGGACGGGTGATCGTCATCAACTATCAGAACCACCCACTTCAGAAGACCTGGCAATACAGTGGCTACGACACCGCCTGGGTGCCACCCAACTGTGGGATGGTGAAGAGCGGCCTGGAGGAGAATTGTGTCTGGGACCCGAATCGAATCTCGATCATCGGCACCATCAAACCAAAACCTGTCCAGGGCGCTGGAGGCAGCGCATGGGGCTATAGGTAAACTCAGGAGCAGGTTCTGATTATTTTGTACGTTCAAATGTATTTTTATATATTTGGATAAAATAAATGACGTGTTCTTCTGTAACCGTGTGACTGTAACCGAAGAATAAACGTGTCATTAAACTGAGCTGCTCTCTGTGTGTGTTCAACACGATTTTTATATACAGTAGAACCAGTCATATATGAAGCCAGGTGAAACTACAGGTATGTCTTAAAGACATGAAGGCCTGGGCGACCTGTAATTTTCTACTTTTAAATTAAGACGTCTTTAAAACATTTGGCTCTAAAAATCAGACACACGGTGTCAGCACAATGAATTACAGCTGATTTTCAGGCTGAGAAAGACACTTTCTCTCGTCTTAGTGGACATATGTTAACTTTGTATGACACATTCTTTTGCAGCTTCGTCCTTGAGCTACAGAAACAAATGAAACACTGCTTTTCACTGATACCATCCAAGACAGTCTTACACTGTGGCTTTTCAAGGACGTCACGTTACATCAGGTCCCACTGTGCTCACACTTTAGTGTCTGTGTTGAGTAACAATAATAATCTTCCAAAGACAAAGAAGCAGCTTTATGTAGCACACAGGACTTCATCGGTGACTTCAAAGCTGAGCAGTGTTCATGAGACTTGTGATGGGAGGCTGTTCGTCCATCCTGCACGTGCGGCTGTTTAAATATCTGTCTGCTTTTGAACATGGACCACACCTCCCAGTTTAAATGCATCCCTGACTTCAGTTGCACGTGGACGCTGGCAGCACCTGCAGTTTGATCTGTGGTGGATAAACTTTCACCTCATGCAACCTTGTTTATAAAGCGGGTGTAGCTGCCAGTGTTATTAACAGTTAGATGCCTTTTGATGCCAGTTTTGCAGGCTGTGACTCACCCCGAAAGACACAGCTGCTCATAAGAGCGCGAAATGAAGAGGTAGTCAGCGATCAGCATCTGTGAGGTGGTTTCACAGCCCAAAGTCTCTGTGCTGACTTCATAAATCCAGCTTTGCACTTCATAATCGTTGCATTATTTGCCTCAGTGCCTGTATGCTTTGAGTAATGCTCGAATACTATGAAATTAGTATTTCTGTGTGTTTTTGCTTCTGTGACAGCCTCTCGTGATTTGATTGGATTCATATAAAACACCTTCCACAGATGCACCGCAGCCTGAGCATTTCTGCACGTTGGAGCTGAAGTTGAAGTCCAAATGAGTTAAATCAGACATTAAAGCTAAAGCTGTCAGTTTGCCAGTGAACGGTCTGTGCAACTTTGATCACGGCTGATGAGAAGAGGAGCTCACGATGCAGTCAGAAACAAAACAGCACCACTAACAGGCTGATCGGTGGTGCAGGGCACTGGGTATGTTCTGGGCGTAGGTTTGTTGTCTGCTGTGAGTAAAGACATGTTACATCAACAATATTTATTAAATCATTCCAAAGACCATAATAATGTACAAACATGAAATAACTTAAAACACATGAGGTTACAGAGACAGTGGTGGATAAACGAGCAGGAAAAACCTTCTTCTTCTTCAGATTTGTCTGGTGAAGCTTTGCAGCCTCTGCGGTGGACACACACCGAGTGACACACACCGAGTGACACACACCGAGTGACACACACCGAGCAGAGGAGGCTGATCTGAGGCAGCAGCAGAGCGTAAACAGAGATATTCCCTTTGTTTCCCATCAGAAGCTCAACTTCTGAGAGGTCAGCTGATATCAGTGCACAGCAGGACGCCACTATTGGCTGGATTGTGACTGACACATTTGAGAGGTTGCTCACTCCAGAGCCAGTGGGCGGAGCCTCACCTGGCCCAGCCTCACACTCCCACATCGACATCCTCTGATGCACAATCAACCCCGTGAGTCGTTTTTAGACCTACGACCTCAACGTTAGTGGGTTGTAGGGGTGGCAGTTTCAGAAGTGGTTAAGCTCAGGCACTAAAGGGGTCATTTACAGGTCGCATACAGTAACCAATGAAAGGCAGGCGGCACGTTTGGAGACAGCCTCTGGTGGACATTAGAGGAACTACAGCTCCATTTTTCAGCCTCAAAGGCTGGAGTCCAGGGAGGTGGGAGGTAGGCTCTGTAGGGAGCAGCACTCGTTAAAAAGTGGCGTTAACTATTTAACCATTAGTGACTCTTCCAGTGTTTAGTCTTCTTCTATTATTACTCAAACAGCTGCTGACACCACTGCTGAGCAGTTTTCCTTGTCTGATGTAGTGTCTACTTTATAAAGTTGGTTTTAGTCCAGTGTGATGTGAACGGAGGGAACACAGAGTTCAGTATTTACAGCCAGAAACACCTGGTGTGATGCTAACAGTCTGAGAACACGGAGGATTTGATGCTCTTGCACCGTCACAGTTAACAACAATCAGCTTTAAAATCCCAGTCGGTCAGTAAAAGGCTGTAAACAGCTTTTAGGAAATTAGCTTTAAAAACTCTAAAACAAACATTCTTGTGCTTGTTGATCTACAACAAAGTCTGTGCTGTCATTAAAAAATGGTTCATATAAAAGAAAGCACCGTAACAAACCACAGAAAACTCAAAAAAAGAGGAAGACTCTGAGGGAACGCAGGGCTCACGCCTCTCAGCTCTCTCCTTCTCCTTCATCCACTTCCTGCTTGATGACCGGAGTTCCTGAATAATGCAGAAGAAGAGATCAGTTGCAGGCTGCAGCTCGGCACTATGATCCGTTCCTGCTCTGAAACACTCGTACCGTCCAGTTTCTTCAGATTAGGGAGTCTCTTCGTGGCCTCGTCCATCCACGTCCCCTCGGCCGAGTGTTTCTCCTCCAGAGGATTTCCGACAAACACGAGGTCAACGAGGCACGGCAGCTCCGCCAGCCTCACAAACTCTCCTGCAACGCACGCAAAACACAACATTCACCACAGCAACTTCACAAATCAACGAGTTAAAAAAACAACGCTGGATTCAAGAAAAATAAAAACTTATTTCACCTAAAGAAAACTTTCACAGTAGAACAGACAGCAGGCGCACCGGCGCTCTATAGATACCTTAGTAAATCTTAAAACACGGACTTGAGTAAATATCAGCCGACCGTCCTCCATGTTGTCCTACAGCTGATTGCGCTCTGCTCGATTATAAATCCCACTTTAGAGGACCACGACTGTCATCACCAGCTGCAGTCCAGCATGGAGGAGGAGGCTGTCTGAATCCGTCTGATTTTAGCGTCCAGAATCAGATCAGCCTGCCGGTGAGCAAACAGGAAGGCCTGGAGCTCGATGGTTACCAAACACTGTGTTATTAATAATACGATAGAGCTTTAATGCAATTGCACAGCAATGTGCCATGCTCCGGGTGTTTCACAGAGGGAAAATGATAGAAGTTTTACTTCATGAGTAATGCTCGAATACTATGAAATGAGTATTTTGATTTGTTTTGCTGCTGTGAAGCCTCTGGACGCTATAAACACTACACAGCTTATACGAAAGGCAGATTTCAGTCAGTGAACCTAATCAGCACCACCTTAAATATAAACTGATGTAACAATAACTCACCACAGTGCAAGACTGAGATCACCAAAATCAAAATCATTCCTGCCTGTGACCATCTCCCTGTACAACTCCTCCATCTGATACACATAACATGTTGTATTGTTAAATAGTCTAGCCTGTTTTTGTTCATGTTACCGTGCCTAAGCAACTGTAACCCACATAATTTCCCTATCGATTAATAAAGTAAGCTGATTCTGATTCCTGTAAACTTCATCACATCACTGCAAACTAACCAGTTCGGTCTGCACTAAACTGGCTGGTATGTTCATCCAGAAAATCAGTAAAACTAGTTTGTTTTGCAAGAAATGTAACAAAAACACAATTCAGAGAAACATAATGTTTCTCGTTTGATTTATAAACTAAACTAAAATGAATGAGGCCAATACATGTAAGATCTCGCAGTCCTTAGTGTAAAAATAGTCTCTTATCTGCCCCTCCTGTCCTCTTTCATCTTCCTCCATCCATCTCACCACATTGACATTTTTTCTCTCCCTGGAAAACAAAGCAACTGTTCATTTATCTCTCAGACAAACTGCAGACAAAGTGTTTGTGTGTGATCATTGTCGAGCTGTTTGAAATCACCTGACACTTATATAAATATTACTCTATTCATGCTCGCTAGTCTTTTGTAGCTGGCTAAAGGCGCAGCAACGGCAACTTTACATCGGCACCATGAACCCGTCACAGCGATGAAGGAAAAAGGACCGCGGGATGTTTTTGTGTTCTTATTACTGAGCGAGCATCACCACACCTGCTCTAACCCCCGCTTACCCCAGTCTTTGACCAGGTTGTTGGACATGTAGAGGACTTTCAGGTTCTTCAGGCACTGGATTCCCTTCAGCTTCTCTATCTGGTTATAAGAGATCCACAACTCCTCCAGTATGTCACCTACAGCCTCCTGCTCTCACACACACACACACACACACACACACACACACACAGAATCAATGTAAAATAATTCACACAAAAAATGGATCCTGGAATTTAAAAAAAAACCTTGGTTATTATTATTACTTTTAGTTTTACTGTTATGATTATGAATGTAACAAAAGCATTTTCCAAATATGTGATGAAGAATCATCTCGTTATCTTATTATTCATGTGACCTCTTGCCAGGTTGTTGATGATGATGTTGGGTTAAGTGAAGCCAGATCACAGACAGACATCCTGGATCTGTTGAACCTGTGTCGTAGGTTTCAGGTCAACATGCTGTCATGTTAATAATGTCGGGATAAACACAGAGTTTCTGGTGGTAATATTCTTTTTATGACACAGGTATGAAAAGATAAAGGAGAACATTTTGCATGGGTGCTCGTGATTTGTCAAATCTAAAGTGCTTGGAAACTTTAGACCCGGCAACAACTCAGTCATCATGCGTCTTAACTTGTGGCCGTGCATTATTTGTCTCACCCACGTCCCCAGGACGCCTCAGTGTCCCGTGTGACTCACCAGCCCTGCGAACGACTTGATGTTGTTCCTTCCTAAAGACAAAATCTTCAGGTTCTCTGGAAGGACCAAACATCCCATTACAACAACACGTTTCCATCTGTGGTCAGAGTGTGTGTGGGTGTGTGTGTGTAGTCAGCACTCACTCAGGCCGTTGAGGTTTGTTATC